CCGTGTTCAGCGTTACGTGTTCTGCGTTCCGTGTTCAGCGTTCCCGTGTTCAGCGTTATGTGTTCCGCGTTCCGTGTTCAGCGTTCCCGTGTTCAGCGTTCCGTGTTCAGCGTTCCGTGTTCAGCGTTACGTGTTCAGCGTTATGTGTTCTGCGTTCCGTGTTCAGCGTTCCCGTGTTCAGCGTTACGTGTTCAGCGTTACGTGTTCAGCGTTATGTGTTCTGCGTTCCGTGTTCAGCGTTCCGTGTTCAGCGTTCCGTGTTCAGCGTTCCGTGTTTAGCGTTCCCGTGTTTAGCGTTCCCGTGTTCAGCGTTACGTGTTCAGCGTTATGTGTTCTGCGTTACGTGTTGTGTGGTCCAGTGTTCAGCGTTCCAGTGTTCAGCGTTCCAGTGTTCAGCGTTCCGTGTTCAGCGTTATGTGTTCTGCGTTCCGTGTTCAGCGTTCCCGTGTTCAGCGTTCCCGTGTTCAGCGTTCCGTGTTCAGCGTTCCGTGTTCAGCGTTACGAGTTCAGCGTTCCCGTGTTCAGCGTTCCCGTGTTCAGCGTTCCGTGTTCAGCGTTCCGTGTTCAGCGTTACGAGTTCAGCGTTCCAGTGTTCAGCGTTCCATGTTTAGCGTTCCCATGTTCAGCGTTCCCGTGTTCAGCGTTTCAGTGTTCAGCGTTCCCGTGTTCAGCGTTCCATGTTCAGCAATCCGTGTTCAGCGTTCCAATGTTCAGCGTTCCGTGTTCAGCGTTCCCGTGTTCAGGTTTATTTTAGGGAATTATAAATTTGGGTTCTGAGCAGCTAAAAAAATTTTGGTTTTCTTCAGTTTTCCCTAAAATAAGATTTTATAAAAAATGAGGGGTTTTTTTATGAATTTTTTTTAGAAACTTCATTTTAAATTAGTTTGTGGATTGTTTTATTATCCATGTTTTATGTGTTCAGTGCTCACAGCATTGCATTTTAATCTTCCGTTTTATGTTTATCTGTATATAACAACTGATGATTCATATATTTTTATTTATTTTAATTGGAAGTTTTATTCTTATAGAAATTGAGGAATTCTGGCTGCATATTTACTAATAAAAGGTTTTTTCCATCTTAAATGGAAAAGCTTCACATATTTTGAACAGGTCTTTCAGCTAATTGCATCTTTAAGTGTATTTTTACTGTAATTCATGGTTTAAACAATCATTTCAATAATGCTTTATCAGAATAATCCTTTCAGTCCTACTCATTTTCAGTTTATTTTGCCTTCGGTTTCTGTAAAACATTATGACCAAACTTTTCCTTCACCCATGAAAAGCTAAACGTTTGGTCCTTCCTTTTATTTAGAGTTCTTGTATTTTTTTTTCTTTTTGAAGATTGACCTGAAATCTCAGTTTCTTGTTCCTCTTTAGTCTCTTCCTCGGCTGTGCTCTCAACCGTCGGACGCATTTGGCTTCAGCGCCGACCTCCAGCGGCTGTACGGCGCCATCGTTGCTCACAGAGGCGCACGAAAACGCAAATGGCCTGAAGAGACCGGCGCCGAACAGAACCAGCCTTCAACAGAAGCAGCCGCCCAGACGTTAACTCCAGGTTAGCATCGCGTCAGACAGGAAGTCAGGGTATGGAAGAAAAACTGTCTCATTGGAATCTGCCTTTATTTTTTTTTACACTGAGTTTTAAATACCGATTTTTTTTTTTTTTTTACATTGAATTCCTTACACTGAATTTATATCTGGTTAAAATTTGCCTGCAAAAAATTAAGCTGCAAAAAATGTGCCTGCAAGAAATTCAGCAGCAAGAAGCTTTTCCAAAATGTTCACATTTTGGACAAAGAAGACAGGTGGTTTGAGAGGGGTGTGAAGGAAGCAAAACCAAGTACAAGAAAAAAAACAACACCCAGTTTCATTTGTTCTGTGCCGTCTGCAACCAGCAGATACTCGATCCGTAGGAGAGGGGCAAACGATGAGCGACGGGAATCAAACCTCCAGGGAGGAGGATGAACCAAACGACAGGAGGAACAGCAGCAGCAGAGCGGCACAGACCAAGGTACCCCTGTGCTCCTACCCATCCAGATTACAGCATGTAGAGGAAAATCTGGCCTTTATGGAAGAGCCTGTTGGCTGCAGAAACAAGCATCCTTTAATGTAGCTCCTACTTTCTATTAAATGTGAAGGAAACACTTTTTTAGATCATTTCCTTAAAGAAAAAATGTGAAAAACATCATTTATGATGTACTGCTTTTTTGGTTTTAACTGATTAAATCCCACTAAAAGAAAAAAAAACGCTGATATTTGTAGTTGAGGCAAAATAATTTGTTTTAGTTACACGTAGAATTTAGTTCATGATGTCAAAGGACAAAGTTAGACGAAGGCTTTAAACGTCTCCTCTCCCTCCGGCAGTCTGCACCCGTCACAGCCCGCCCTGCGGAGCGACCGGCCTCCAAACCAAAGAAGAAGAAGGTGGGGCTCTTCAGATGACCCAAACATCAGAGCGGCTTCCTGTTTTAAAGCTTTAACTGCGGCGGACTGTTTTAGACTCTGAGTTTTAATGTTTTAGATTCAATTGTTGAAGTTTTAAATCCAAACCCATTCAGACTGTTTTAAACCTTCAGCTCTATCATAGAATTTCTGTTAAATAAACTTGGTTTTAAACTTTTAATTGATGTTTTGTCACCGTTTTTTCGCATAATGTGCTGGCTCAGTTTTTAACGGAACAAATTCTACCCAAAAATTCCACATGTGAATTAAACAATTCCAGCTCCCAAACTATAAATTGGAAATAAAATTGTTTGTATTTGTGGGACTGAAGGCATTGAGGAATATTTTGCAGGTGAAACCACTATTTGAAATGTCACCATGTCTGATTTATAGGTGATTAAACAAAGAAAAAAAGGAAAATTTTTAGCCTCATCAAATTTTTTTTTCCAAAAATAAACACCATGAAACCCCATTAAAAACTCTGGATGAACCCTCAGACTTTATAGATCCACATCTTGACTTTAAGTCAAGCAAATTGGGAGTGGGAAAATAGAGATAGACTGAAGCAGAATGATGAAAAAGGGGTCCCTATGTCCTCCAGCAGTCTAAGCCTATAGCAGCATAACTATAGGGATAGCTTAGTGTAGCGACTTCAATCCACCAACAGAGCCGCTGCTGGCTGAGAAGTTTTGTGCGCTGTGACAGGTCTCCAAGAAGCCATTCTGAGCCCCACTTGCGTTTTCTTTCTTATTTATATTTCAAAAAGTTACAAATGACAATGACGGTCAACAGAAAAGTTTGATAAAAACCTCCTTACCCAACTTATTGGGTTCATCTAAAATAACAAGGGACCACACCCCCTAAGCAATCACCCCAGCTGTGTCACCAAAATAATAAACAGAATATAAACTGTTAACTTTGGCTCTAACACTCAGGATAACCGGAGCCAATCTTACTATAAGCTTTATCAAATAGATCCACATCTTGTCTGTAAGTCAAGCTAATTTGGACTGAATAAGTTGAAGCATGTTTGTTCCACAAAGGTGTTAGTGGGCAGTGTGCTAGGAGGAAATGGGATTTCGGCCAAAAGTGCAAAATGCATTTTTTGACTCATTAAAGGGAATCATTTAGTCTTTTCTTTGAAATTTGCCAATAATATCACGAAACTGAGTAGAAAATAATAATAACAGAGCAAGTTTATGTAACACATGCCGGTTACATCGCCTGAAATGGTGGAATAATAACCTCTGACCCCTCCTTGGAAAGGTCTGAGCCTCTAGTATCCAATGATAGTGGCCATTAGGGGGCGGGGCTAAAAGAAGCTGCTTTTGCATTATTCCTGCAGAGTCACACATGTCAGGTGGAATTTTAATATCATTTTAGTTGTTAACATAGCTATCTACGGAAGAGGATTAGGGCCACTGAAAAAAAAAAAAAAAAGTTAACTGATTTTTTTTTTTTTTTTCAGTATAGTATGAAAAAAAGACAGAATACTGAGATTAAAGAAAGAATTCTGACTTTAATCTCAGAATTCTGACTTTTTTCTCAGAATTCTGACTTTTTTATTGTCAGAATTCAGTCAGAATTCTAAGATCAAAGTCAGTTTTTTCCCATGTTAAACTGAAATAAAATTTAAAAATCAGTTAACTTTTTTTTTTCAGTGGCCCTAATCCTCTTCCGTAGCTATAAAACTAAATGTACTTGTGAAAAAATAACTTAAACTAGAGATTTGAAAGGCGCGTGGATGAAACACCATGTGACTGTGTTTTTGCCATTTCTATAAATAGATAAACTTGAGCAGGTTTCAGTTGGGCTTGGTACTGATCCCTTAAAGGGTTTTTTTTAAACTTTGACTGGATGTTTTTTTCCAGACTCAGACACAATGAGCCGCTCTCATCTTTCTCGGACCTCATGGAGATGTTGACTCAAGGTGTTGCAGCATCCCTGGAATGTCATTGAAGTCTTCTGTTTGCCTCATCGGCTCCTTTTCAGATTTCTCCAGAGAAAACCTTCAGTTTCCTGAAACTCCCACATCTTCAGCAGGAAAACGTCAATAAACAGGAATTCTTTGCCTCCAGTGAAGCACATTGAGATTAAAATTACTCTTAACTAAAAACACTTATTATATATTAAATAGTTTGTAATAATTGAATGTTTAAAGTAATTTCAGAAGTTTAATCCTGAACATGAGCTCTGATTCTGGGTGAAAAACACCTGACTGTGCGCGCGCCTGTCCTGACGTCGGTCCATCGCCAGGCTGAGCGCGCGCCCGTGCCATCAGGATGGGAGGAGAGGACCGGGCAGAGGGCAGGTCCAGCAGGGCGCGGTCCTCCTCCTCATCTGTCCCGCTGTGGGATCTCTTCCATTCCCACTCAGCTGCCAGGCTGCGGCGCACTGAGAGTCCTGCCAGGCCCACGCAGCTGCCGCGCCTCAGAGTGGCAGCTTTCAACCTGCCTGCCAAAATAAACTCACCTCACCTATTTATGCCCCCTGCCTCCTGCGCAGCTCCTCTGGACGCCTTGACGCGCGTGGGATGGTCACCGGTGGGGACTCTGCGATGAGTCCTGCTCCACCCTCACCTGTCTAATCCCACAGTCTGACAGAAAGTGGGGGGACACTTCCACGCTTCTTCGGCCACGCCGCGGGGAATGCAGCTCCCCACGCTGGTGACGTGCCTGGCCGGGTGCGCCTTCCTCCTGTGGCCGCTCAGCGAGGGCTGCGGGCCGGGGAAGGGCCACGGCAGGAGGCGGGCCCCGCGGAAGCTGGTGCCGCTCATCCTGAAGCAGTTCAGCCCCAACGTGGCCGAGCAGACCCTGGGTGCCAGCGGGAAGTTTGAGGGGAAAATCACGCGGAACTCTGAGCGCTTCAAGGAGCTCATCCCCAACTACAACCCGGACATCATCTTCAAGGATGAGGAGAACACAGGTGCAGACCGCATGATGACCCAGGTAACACCTTTCTAACTCTTTATTTTATTTCATGTTTGTTCAGATTTAAGCTGATTTTTTTCTCCATCTTTGGTTTATGAAAGCTGCCTGTTTGCGCTGCCATTCTCAGAGCTGCCTGCGGCTTGTTGACACAGTGGAGCCTGACTGAGGTGACCAGCCTGGGTCCAAGCTGGAGCCTCAGAGCTTCACTGTGGGCAGCTCGTGCGTAAAAGAGGGCAACCCTTTCTAAAAATGGCCCCGCAGCGGCCGCTCTTAATTAAAACACTCTGTCCTCTGTTTCACAGCAGCTTCTTTTGCTGGAAAAAAAAGGGAAAACTTCACATTTGGTTAGAGGATTTACCATCAGGCAATACCAAGCAATTCCCCAGGGGCCCTAGTTCCTGGGGGCCCCATAAAACTTTACATTAATTATGTTTATGATAAAAATCCTTTCCTTAAAATGCCATCAGAAGGCGGATAATATTAAATCAGTGTCCACCATATTGGAGAGAAAACACAATTAGAAGAAGTTTATTGATAAAATGACTTTAGTCTTTGGCGCTCAGACCACGGCAGGAAACTTTGCACTGAATTTTGATTGAAATGACAATAAAAACACTGTGGTTAATTCTGCACATCAATATACTAACATTAAAGATGATAAGCAAAGAATTCCTGCTCTTTACAGAAATATATTTTGTGTTTTATGGGGTAAAGAGAAAATGACGAGTCTCTGCAAATCTTCAGTGAAATCATAGAGAAATATTTCAATAAAAAATCTAAATTATCAGTTTATGTAGAAATTAGTACCTGTAAATATCAATTTTATGCAGAATAATTACTGATAAAAGTAGGTAAGTAATGACAATTGAAGAGATGTTCGCACAAAAGTCAAACCTGAAAGAATTTTATCCACTATACCTTTTATGTAGAAAGCACGGATGTTTGAATATATTCCTCTATCTGTTAGCAAAGGTTGAGAAAAAGTTTGTCTTTATTTAGAAAACATGGATGTTTTTCTCATTATTTTCCTGTTGGAACAGATTGACCGTGAGGTGTCGGTGCCTATCTACTTTCAGCCACCCCTCAGCGTATATTTTTACTGCCATATTTTTAGTTTACATGTTTTATTTTGTATTATGCAAATTTTTTTGTTATTATGACTCTTTATTTTGAAAGGTTTCTTTAGGAAGTGGAATCTAGCATGTTCGCTGAAAAACTAGAAGAAAAAGATGAAGGCATGAAGGCATGACATTTGCAAAAAGTTTTACAAAAAAAGTTTAAAAGGTCCTTCATTTCTCATTTCTACCTCAAAAGGAAGGGTCAGCCAGCGAGGTTTGTTTATATGTATTTATATTATTTATTATGTCATTTTCTACTCATGACACCATCTCATTTAAGTTTATGTTGTATTTTAGTTCGACTGTGGTTTTGGTGTCAATGGCAAAGAAATTATAAGAAGATTTTCAATAAAACTGACTTCACACCAGCAGTAACGAACTCTTTATTGCTTTCAAGAAAGGTGGAAGTGATATATATTGGTTACTGGACACCCCTATAAAAATTTTCTGGCTACGCCTCTGGAGACGGCAGTTACTTACGGGCCCACAATCTCTTAGGGGCCCCATCACTGTTACCTGGGTGGACCCTACGCAACTAGTAGACTAGGACGACTCTTTGCTGATATAATGGTGTGAAAAATTCTTCTTAAACCCTCCTGATACTGAAGTGACTCACCGGACCGTATTTATACCGCAACACATTGCAGATTTCAACAAGATGGTGAGACGTTTAAACACAACACCAATAGCAAAGCAGGAAGTGGTACTTTTATTAATAATATCATACACTCATATATGTTTCAAACCGCAATAAAGATCTTAAAAGAACAACGTATTTAAGTATTTTATTACACCACAACTTGGAATTATGGGTAATCCAGATTAAAACAATAACTGTAACGTACAATGTGTTAGCGACGACGGATAGCAAAAAGAGGTACTTAAGAGGATTCCAGAAAAGAAAAATTAAAAGAAGAGCTGCTGGAAGAACGGAAAAAACTTCCCAAAATAAACACTTTCCTTTATAGAACCAAAGAGGCAGAGTTGGAAGTTGCTGCTACAGAGAGTAAAGATGGCGACCGGGAGATGAATGGAGAGAGCGTGGCTAAGGAGGGGAGCTGAAGGTAGCCTGATGGCTTGTTGTTCTAACATGTGGTGGTGCGCTGTCACCAATGGTGCCATTCACGGTGCGCAGTCACTATTTTTCCATGTTGTTGTGTCGTTACACCATTGCTGAAAGTGGAGGTGGAGTGGAGATGGATGTAGTTGGTCAGTCTGTAGACTGCTGGTTAGAGAGACGGTCTGCTGAGCTTCATGGGGAGATCCAGTGGACTGTGTTAGCTGATACTAGAGCTTCACTCAGGGACCTGGAAGATGGAAGTCCAGCTGGATAACACAGGTTGGAGAGAACCTGTCCATGATGAGCAAGCATAAAGCAACAGTGGAGAGGAACAACTCCCCATTTGGAAGAAAGCTCTGAAGTCACATGACGCAACCACCAACTGCGCACAGGAGCAGACAAGATGCGGATCGAAGGCCTTTTAAGATGAACTTTGGATACTAATTGGCTTTCGTGGAGGCGTG